CTTCCTCGACGGCGCCGACCGTCAGATCCACCACCCGAGGCTCCTCGGACCTCTGCCTCTTCGACACTCCTTGGGACACAGGGGATTGGCTCTCTTGAGGCGACGAGGACGAAGTTTGGCCCCCCTGCGTCGCGACCTCCTGACTGACCAGCTGACTCACCCTCGTCCTCGGGACCCCGGCACTCCTGGCAGCACGCAACTGCTTCACCCGCTCGTCGACAGTAGACATGTTCGCTGCAAAAACAAAGAAATAGGTTAGCGACGATCAAAAACCCCGACCACGAGGGAAAACGAAACATCCCTACCTAGATAATCCAGAGCGGCCGCCCCGGTCGCACAGCCGAGCAAAGTCTTAGTATTTATCAAACGCTTTTTAGTGCGTACGTTCCCCTGGGCATCGAGGATGTACCGACCGTCGGGCGTCACCAGCTTCGACGGGGGAAGTGACCGCACAAAGGCAATTATTTTCAGATAAGCGGCCATGTCCTTCTCCTCGAGGGTTCCCGCCCGGACGATATACCTATCCGTCCCTCGACTGAAATGCTCCGAGGTCCACAGCAGATGTATCTTGGGAAGCCACGCTCGGAACCACTGGCCATCTACCGTGCGCTCGCCCTCGTCAAAGAGAGTGTCCGAGCCGTACTGCGTGATCGGTTTGACGAGGTAGAACCGACCCTTGAAGTCTTTGACAGAATCACTATACGCTTTAAAAATTTTGGTCGATTGTTTGAAAGAGACCCATCCGTGACGACCTCGCACCGTCTGCCGCTGCAAATGAAAGATGCGAAAGAATAACGGCACCGTCGGCTCCACCGAGAGGTAGAAACACACCACCTCGAAAGCCCGGATGAAAGCCAGAGCGTTCGGGTGCAGCTGAGACGGGGCAAGACGCAGCCAGTCAAAAATCCCCAGATGGAAGGCAGAGAACGGCAACCGGAGCCGAGCTTCCTTAAAATAAAACTCGTACATCGGGAACATCTTCCGCCCATAGCGCGAACAGATCCGGTGATGCGCTTTCGGGCGATACACCTGCCAGTGTTGCGTTTCTCCTAGCGGCGTGTCCTCGACCGTGGCATACACGTCGGACGGGTCGACCACAAAACAAGAAGGGATGGTAAGTGGCTCCTCGGCCGCCCACTCCTCGGGCGAGGAGACGCGCCCGTCGTCATACTCCGGGACCTCGGGTTCATCATCTTCAACCATTATCCCCGGCACCAGAGCCGACATCTACACCTGAAAGCAGAGGACCTCGGTGAATTCGATAGCCAGGATCAAATCCACCCTTCCACCGCAAGTCAAGTGAAAGGGCGACAAAGGCCGAGGGGCGGCGAGCAGACATTCGCTCCCCGCCTACCCTCCTCGGGGATCGAAGAACGACCCCTCAGCCCTTCGGGGCGGCCATCGGAGAAGATACTTCTCCCCGGGGCATTCATCAGAAAAAGCCCCCGTCCTCGGGGCATTCATCGGAGAAAAGCCCCCGTCCTCGGGGCATTCATCAGAAAAAGCTCCTGTCCCCGGGGCATTCATCGGAACTAGCCTACCGTCCCCGGGACATTCATCGGAAAACTCGCCAGACGCGGCGGAACTCGCATCCCTCCTCGGGGCGTTCATCGCGCCCCGACCACACGTCCCAGTTAGACGACGAAAATAAAAGAGAGGGAGAAGAGGAACTCACTTGTAACGGCGGCGGACGGAAGAAAAAGCGAATGGCACGGCGTTGATCGGCGGCGAACGGCGGACGGGCAGAGACGACGAAAGATCAACAGGGAGAAAAGTAGCAGAATGAGCGGGGACCGCCATATTTATAACCCGGCGCGAGGCTCGAAGCGACCCTAGGCTCATTAATGACATAGGTTAGCCGCCCCTACGACCGCTCAACGCAAGACACGTGGAAGCAGCCTGACAGTCGCGTCTCTCCATCTGCCTCCTCCCCGTTCTACCGACGACCGGAGCCCTTCGCACGAGTCCCCCGCTCCAGACATGACGACCTTAAGTCCTCGCTCTTCCCCAGAGCTTCGACTTGGGGGGCTCCTGTTCCGGTGTGGGCCTCACCTCGGCAGGCCCAATACCAAATACGGCCCAACAGGCGAACTGAGCACACCTGGCGCACGCCCCTTCGGACGAGCAGGACCGTCCGCCGGGCACAAGCCATCACGCCGCATCCCCTTCGTCGTCCGTCACACCAGACGAGCGAGACTACCCGGGCTCCCTCCGCGGGAGAATAACGTGCTCGGCGCACGTTCTCCACGTGCTCCCCTCCGCGGGGACACGTCATCGGCCAACCGCCCACCTCCGAAAGAGCAGGTCAAACCCACTTTCCGGAGACCTAGGAGCGGTTGAACTAGGGCGAAGACCACGTCCTGGTCTTCACTACGCCACGTAAGCCCTAGCAGTCATTAGGGTTGGGCCTGGTCGTCTGGCCCACCTCGAATGACCGTTGGCCCAGCGCTGGGGTCTCTCTATAAATACCCTCTTCTTCAAGAGGGTCAGGTAACTCTTCTTGCCCCCTTTTCTGTACTATTGCTTCCTCTCTGTCCAACTTCTTACTTGGGCGTCGGAGTGTTTTGCAGGTACACCCCCTCCTCGTTCTTACCTCGGCGAACAGATAACCGTCCGGCAAAGCGTGGCCAGTCCGTGATCCCTCCTGATCAGGTCAGATCAGGAAGCAATACTGGAGATTACTTAGGAATGAAGATTTTCTTGTTAGAAGGGTTCTAAAAGGCAGGTATTTTCCAAATTGTAACATTGATGATTTCCCTACAGGTTTAAATCCAAGTTATGCTTGGAGGAGTATTGTGAGTGCAAGGCAACTGGTTCATCAGGGTTCTAGATGGATGCTAGGAAATGGCTCAAAGGTGTCAGTGTCCAGAGATAGGTTGATTCTTGGGAATCCTAGTTTCAAGCTGTTGAACCATGTTTCTACCTTAGATCCGGAGTGGAAAGTTTGTGATTTGATTTATCCTGATACTAGTCGATGGAAAGAAGATTTGATTTTCTCCTCTTTCGGGCAGGCTGATGCCCTTCAAATTGTAGGCATCCCCTTATCTCAAAGAATCATTGATGATGAGATTATATGGCACTAAGAAACAAAAGGCAATTACTCAGTGAGATCTTCCTATCATTTGTGCTTGAAGGATCGCATTAGCTCAAATTCTGGACCCTCTATGGACCCTAACCAGAAGTTGTGGAAACTGATTTGGAAAATTCCTCTTCATAACAAAGTCAGAAATTTCTTTTGGAGACTTGCTAGAAACATCTTGCCCACACGAGACAATCTTAGGAAAAAAAAAAGGTATCACTCTTGACTCATCCTGTCCTTTCTGCCACTCTAATGTTGAGACGATGGACCATATCTTTCTGGATCGTGTGTTTGTTAAGCAGACTTTTTTCTCTTCCATCCTTAGCCTTAGAATTCTGTCAAAAAATGGTATTTGCAGCTGGCTTGAGGAGTCTCTAGCTTCTAATGATTTCATGGTTTGCCAACTCATTAGTGCTACCCTTATAAAATCTGGTTGGCAAAGAATTCAATTGTTTTTCATGATAGGACCTCTACTCCTTCACAGGTTGTTGCAGAGGCTCTAGATATGGTGCAAAAAATTAATGCTTGGAACAAGAACAAGGAGCAAAAGTCCTCTCCCAACACTGACGTGTTTGGCTCCAAAGGAAACATTTTCATAGTTCAGGTCGACGCGGGAGTTTTTGAAGAAGGCATTTCAACTTTTAGTTGCATAGTTAAGAACCATTAAAACAAGGTTATCCTCTCAGTTTGTAAATCTAAAAAGAGGTTGTTAGATCCTACTGCTGCAAAATGCCTAACCATTAAGTGGGGTATACAACTTGCTTTGAATATTAATATTGAAAATTCCATGCTCTAGTCTGATTCTCAGAATGTTATGGATTGTATTAACATGTGTAAGGATTATGCTAGCATTCAGAGTGTTATAGATTGTATTAACATGTATAAGGATTATGTTAGCATTGAACCTATTGCAGAGGACTGTAGAATCCTCCTTAAGAATTGTTCTTGTAGCTCTGTTATGTATATTAGCAAAAACAAAAATCTCTTTGCTCATGGTCTTGTGAGAGTTGAAAAAATTGAGTTCTAGGACTTGGTTAGCTAACTACCCTTTGATTGATCAGAACTCTATTGTATTGTCCTCTTCCGTTTTTTAATTCATCTTTTCCGTCACACAAAAAATAATGAAATTGGATTTTTCATGGACGACTCCCTTTCTTCTAATGGAATCATTCACACCAACATCTTATTATCGTGGTTAGGTCCATTTCTTTCCATTGCATAGAACTTCTATCACGGTTTAACTTGTAATGTAATGCATACAAAGCCTCTCAGGTTGAGGCGACCATTGCATAGAAATGGATCGGACCCTAGATAACTAACTAGGCCCTTAATTTTTGTTCTCAGATATGCGGCTTGGGTTGTTTTGGATGCCTCATCATGGAGCAGTCACTCATCAATGTGGTTGAGGCTCTTGATTAGAGAATGACTGCAGTTGACACAAAGTCACCCACAGTAAAAGAGGGAGGGGGAGAAACATAGATGGTGCCTGTAATTCTTGCAAAGGTTTGAGACGAGAATCCAATTTTGGACCTGTATGACATGTTTAGCCGCTTGCAGTTGGTTTTTGCTGGATGAAACATAGATTAAGTTGCTCGACTTTGGTTGCAGGGGCGTGCGAACAGAAAGCATTGACACAGTCTGGGAAAGGGGAAGCCATGGAATTGTTACCATGCTAACTAATCTCGGTGATATTTTTTTGTTGGATAACCGTACAAACAGACATTAGAACTTTATTATAGAAGCTATGGTCTTTATTAAATATGACAAAATTTTCGGTAATTAATTTATATTTGCTTAAATAAAGTTCACTAAAACTACATCAGAGAAATTTTTTATAAAAAAAAAAAGGAACATGAATTGATATGCGATATGTATCAACTCCTCTAGATTCAGTGAAAACAGTTTACAGTGGAGAGAAAACTCATCTTCGAAAGTGAATATTTACAACTGAAGGCTGCAAGAACAAAGTCTGCTGAATAGAGAGAGCAAAGGGCAAAAATGGATGAAAAAGAAATGAAGAGATCTTTTTTGCACGACCATCCAAACTACCAGCTTCGGGACCTAAATTTGAAGCATAAAATAGTGTGCCAAGTTAATATTCAAAAAGCAGATCAAAGCTGCATGGCTTACTGGTAAGACAACTAATAATATTATATTAAAAAATAAATAAATAAATAAAATTTAAAAAAAAAAAAAAACAGCACAAATTTACAAATGTCTTCCTGTGCACCAACCTAAGTCTGTGTGCGTGTCCAGTGCACCACACACACCACAAATGTCTTCCTGTTCGCACTGGATAAACTATTCTAACAGGAAGGCCGTGTGTGTGTGGTGTGTAACGCAATATTTTTATTGGTTATAATTCAAACAGATCCCACCAAATTTATATGACCAGCAAGATTTGGTAGAGTCCATATATATTTTTAACCAATAAAAAAGTGTATTGGAAAGTTTGTTAGAGAGTGTGTATATTCTCATTAAAAGTTAAAAGTTGCACTTTACACTATTGTGCATTCTCCACATCAGAATAGTGTGATCTGGCCCTGATTTTGCTCTCTAAAGTAGAGTACTGGTTCGAAAGTGGAGTACAATATCTTGTCGTTTTGATATTTAGAACGCAATCAGCTTGAACAACAGGGAAAAAATGCGCACCTGGCTTGATCTTAAATTTGAGAGTGTGTGGAGAATTCCTTAAAATGAACTTGATTGGATGATCAGTTGACTGCCTATGCCGATCAGTTGCAGAAATCAGCTGCCAATATGGGAAGAATTACAAAGAGAACCATAGTAAGCGAAAAGTCTTTTACTACTTTGTAAATATTACAAAGGGGATAGGGAAAGGCAAATTAAATGGCCAGGAACTTTCATTCACTGTTCAACAGATCTCTCGAATACTTGTGCATAAGCAAATTAGCAAAACCCTTTTTTATATGGGGGCTTCAATAGACACGTCAGATAAAAGATAAGAAAGAAAAAAAGAAAGGAAAAAAAAAAAAAGAAAAACTCTTCCGGAAAGTACTTTTTGGATTTTGCCAATGAAAATAAAATAAAACCTATCCCTTTTCTGCATGAGTAACCTGAAGTGTAAGGAAACTAGAAATCATTCTTCAACTGTACTTAAAACTAGAAACATACAGAAACTCATTTTTCCCGCAAAATTGAAATCTCTACCCATAATCAACCTCTATTATATCAATTCAATATTCCAGTTTTCAATGTCAATGTTGCAAAGGTTGCCACCACCTCCTCCAACAGAAACTCGGTTCAAATTTCTTCCCAAATATTTAATAACCATGATATCAAAGTCTATCATGATACCTCAAGCAATAAGGACAACATTAATATGGCCTGTCTCCAAAGGATTTTCAATTGGTTTCTCCATAGCCAGTCCCACTAACAATTTATTAACACTGATCTAACAGCTATAACTCCACTTTAACCAGTCTATACCTAACTTTGTGCCAAATGATTATTTTATAAAAAAAACACTGATCATTGCAATGAAAGTAGACAAGAAAACAAGCATGTGGAGTCACCTTATCATCAAACCGGAAAAGAGATTGATCAAAGTAAGGAGAAGGACTCTGTGATTGACAGCTAAAAGGCAAAGAGGCGAGCATCTTCTTCACAAACTGCAAAACAACAAACAAATTGTATACAAAGAACACATTAGCATGCCATGTACATGGCCTTTTGATTTACTTTTTTATCATGGAAAGGAAAAAGGGATCATGGAATTACAAGGTTACAACCAGAAACAACAATTCACCTGTGAAGAGTTGCTTGCCTTATCCTTTATGCTCCGTAGCTGTTCCAGTGCATGAATATTGTTTGAATGAGAAGATATGAAATTCATATACATTAAATTCCTTGAGGTTACATGAAAGTGATCACCATACTTCTCAAACAACAGATAAAGCTCATCTGCTGAATTCTGGTAGAATGTAAAGGCAAATTAGGCGAAAATCTTACGCAGTGTAACACTGAAAACCCAAGAAAATAAAATACAGAATGAAAAACAAACTTGCCTGATAAAAAGATACAATTTCAGTTGTATCCATGTTGTATACAGCAACAAAAGCTGGATGGTGATCAGCATTTCTTGACACCTGAGGCTTCAAAACATGAATATCAGCACATCTTTCATATTACCTCAATAGAGCACTTTTTGATTCCATTCGAGTTAACAGATTGAGCGCTGACCCAATGTTAATAGCTAGATAAAATCTTTCTTGAGCCACCAATTAACAGTTATCAGCTTTTAAGAGTTGTCCCTAACAAGGTATGAGATATCCTGACCTAGTGATAAAAATTCAACCCTCTGCAACAAGTTGATAAAACTGTGTTCTGACTCTGAGGGCTTTTACAAAGATAATTGCCACTTTAGCAACCAGCTCAAAATTTAAGAAAAGTTAACCACTGACACTAATTGTTTTCTGTACGTTAGGACAGGGCTAGACATTTAGCAAGGAGCCTCCTACAGAGAGGCTGGAAATCTACTTCACGGATGAGTGCCCGATACCCAAATTATAGCAAAATATAAATAATATAGTGTTACTTTCTAATATTTAGCCTTGGGCCCGCTCTCAAGTTCTTGTAAGTAATTTTCACTTATGTGCTTAGAGTCTGTAATGTTATTACTAGAACAAATAAAAATTAAAAATGAGTACAAAGATAACTTACCCCTCCATCAACACTGCCAAACTTGATTAGCAAGTGGTGTCGATCCAAAAACTGCACCTGCCCAGGAATTGAATAGACGCAACCGGTTACATTCCTCATTTATATATGAATCAATAGTGAAATAGTCTTGTTTGATGATAAAGCGGTGATCAAGAACCAGTTACGATGTATAAAATGTCTTGACGACCTACCTTCCAGATAATCAAATCAACATAATCTTGAAAGTGGAAGTAAAACTTGTTCCTAAGTCTTTGGATTCTCTGAGGAACCGGAAAAAAAAAACAATATCACAATCTAACTTACACATTGAGAAAAGACACAACTTATAAGTGGAGATTACACGGCTATATAATAATGCATACAGCCAAAAATCAAACGACCACAATTCAGTAACACAGAAATTAGAGACGGCAAAAACATGCAGAGCAATAATTACGAGAAATGAAAAGGGTAAACAATTAACAAAGCCCCAGAGAGTAATAGTTGTCTTTACACTCAGCAGCAACCACCAAACAATTTTCCCACTAGGTAAGTGCAATGATCAATCGATGCCATAAAGTCTATACAACAGTATTAGGTCTAGAGACAGACCATTTGCTTCTAATTTGTATATATACTCATATGCCAAAAACCAATTTTGTTGTCTCTACAAAATGAGTGGCTTCTACGGTTCTGCATTCCAGATTTCTTTTTCCCACATTCATGCTTAAGAATGTCATAGTAATCTAATAAAAAAACAATGTCTTAATAATAATAGATTGTGTGGGGAAGAAAATAAGGGAAATTATAAAAAGGAATTCTAGTAAAAATATTTATACTTTAGGAATATTAAGCATACAAGATTAAGTTAAGTGTTCATTCAACAACCACCGTTTGAACATGGGTATCCACTTAGTGGCAAACTATTCCTAAATTGGAAACATCTTTACCAAGAACTCTGATGATAATTTCTGCTTCTAAACTAATGCAAAAATGTGTGTGTACATAACAATGGTAAAACTGGACAACATGTGCATGCATTCACACACACGTATATGCCTGTGGAGAAAGAGATATGGATGTACCAGGTCAAATAATGTCCATAAGAGTGAGAGGAGACACAAGAAGATCTCAAAAAAAAAAATTGTCGGGAAGAATAATAAAAGAAGAAACTGATGCTTTCACCATATCAAAGATAGTAGAAAAGAAAAAGAAACTGATATTTGGGAATGTTCCTATATCCTTCCAATATAATATATTATAAACTTTCTGTAACATGTTCAGCATAGAAGCAAAGACAAATAAAACATGGAAAAGGAACACTGTTCAATAAGAAGCAAATTTATAAGACTAACCAAGGTATCATCTGTTTCTTCATTCCATAACCCCTGGAATATGAATGAAAGCAATCGCTGCTTTATACCACTTAAAAAAGAATTCCCCACATTAGGCTGACCTTGATGCATGTGATTTTCTACATGGTTCTCTGGTACTTGGTGCTGTTTATTTTTGTTAGACAATGGCATTCCCTGTCAGCAAATGATTGTCTTTTATGAGTTTGGCTCTTAATATTTCCACAAAACCATCAGAAATTTGGTTGGCAAAATATAAAGGTATGTCATACATGTACCCAGATGAAAACTGAGCACATATGATGTCACAAATCACAATTGGGAAAACTGTTAGTTCGAACCCACAATAGATTCAGAAAGCGTTTGCAAGGTGTTACAAAAATTCACCTGTGAAAGCATTCTTAAAAGGTTCTTTTTAGGGTCCACCATTTAAGGGAGGACCCACCACTGATGTGAGCTCAGGGGGAAGCCCAAATGAGACCGTAAAAGGTAGGGGGAAGGGAATGGAAAAAGGGATGGAGTATACTGCATAGGTTTGAACATGTGCACTCTCAATACATGTACCACAACTTCAACAGAGCTAACTCAGAGGGGCTTCTAAAACCATATTCGATTAGAAAAAACTGCATGTTTTTCTGTCAAAATGCCACGACAATCTATATCTAACGAAAGACTTAACAAGATGCTTGTAGACTAAAGTTTGCCAACCTGAGCATTTGAATTTAGAAAAAGTTCGTCATCTTCACGGCAGAACTCCCCAATAGCACGTACATGAACAAAGTTCCCAGAGTCCCTAATCTGAAGAATGTGTATAGTTTGATAGCGAAGTGATACAATTGCCAATAGATCATCATACAAGAAGACACCCATATTATGGGTCAAATTGACAAAGTCATTACTGAAGATCTTCTTATCCAGGATCTCTCCATCTTCCATTCTAAATATAATACGTGAGAATTGTCAGCATGTGATTTTTCTTCAATTTTGAAGATAAAAAGAAAGACTACGAATATAAAGGAAGATAAGAAATCACCTCAAAAGATGAAAAGTTATTTTTTCTATTGATGGAACACCCTGAACAGCTCCTCCAACAGCAGGTGCATCATGAATTTGAGCCGTAGAAGTAGCAAACAGTCCAAATTTATTACTCTCCATGTAAAGAAAGAAATCTTTACATATAAGTTCGTTACAAGAAACAAGTGGTACACAATATAATTGGGTGAAAAAACTGTCAAATCTTCTTGCTTTTGCTGGCAAATCATGTTTATCACAATCTTCGTCATTGCATGAAAAAGAAAGCCATCTAGGCCTATAAACAATCAGCTCCTGATGATTTCTGCTGAAACTTACAAGGTATTGACCATCCTCTGTGAATTTACGAAATGAATGGTCAGGGAACTCAACCTCATATACTGTGTAACTTGGCACCAAATTTTCATAGAATCGCCGGGCATGATGAACCTGCAAGAATTAAATTACACCTGCAAAAATTATATTCAATTCAGGTTCCTTCAACAGAGGAACAATACAACAATTTTATAAATTTCACACAGGCTAGTTTCTCCATTCGACCATGTGCAAGCAAATTTTCCAAACTAGCACACCATATATACTTTTGCATTTTCCAGATTACAATAATCAATCTATGTCTGACTCTATTTAAACCTCTCTGCATATCCAAAAAATACAGTAAAGCAAATAGTATAACTCTACTCACCCTTTCTTTCTACCCCTATTATCCTTTATTGGATATTCACATCCTTACAATTACAAATAGAAGGACCGCGGCCCACGACCTGTTTAGGTTGCTTTATTTGAGCTTATCTACTAGCATAAACATTTGTGAGATTGTTTGGAAGAGCTTATGGAAACAGTTTATGACAGTCCATATCTAGTTTTGTGCTAATTTCCATAAGCTCTCTAGGATAGCTTATAAAAAATAACTTATAACTTCGGTGAAAACAATCTAATTTTATTATATCTTTTGTTATAGACATAGCTCACACATAACTTGTTTATCCAAACAGAGTCTAATTGTTGTTCTGAAATACTTCCTTACGAACTTATGTAGCTAAGCATAAACCTTGTAAATATTCTTAATCACATGTTTACATTAATTATTCCAAACCTTAGCTATTGAAAAATAAATCAATACACCAAACAAGCTCCTAAGCTAAGAAGAGGCCATCGAAGACCGCAACTATAAGAATTCCAAGCTGAAAAAATCTTAAACAGAATCATAATTAAGAAGAGCTTACACTAGTGCCAGGAGCAGGAGTGCAAATTTGACGATCGAAAATCCTAGCCGCAATATTGCTGCTTCTGTAGTACATTAAAGCTTGTCCACAAACTCGAAGAGACCTTTACCCTAAAAATCAAAGAAAACGAAATTCTCACATCAGACAAGTAACTACTACCGGACAGTCATTATTTTCATATCAAAAGTTTCACAATCCAAGTCATGAGCTAAATTTGAAAATCAAGACAAATAATAACTTGAATCAATTTGCATAGGAAAATGTTAAACTCCAAAATCACAGACATTATGCAGTGTGAATATCAAATAACTGAATTAAGTAAAAAACTAATAATAAACTAAGATTTACGATATTATTATACTAAACTAAATGACCAACAAAAATCATAGAGCATTTCACATTAATCTAACCTTCAAAAACTAGCATAATAATAGTACATAGATAGAAATGAGAACAAAAACCCTTGGATTGTGCATGATTTTTAATCATCGTTATTTTTTTCTATAATAAGTAATAATCAATAAGAAAATGTTGCTGGAAGCGAGAAATTAGTTGCAGAGAGAATCGGAGAGATTACCGGTGGACGCGGCGTTGACGACGGGAAGAGAAACGCGGCGGTGGTGACCGGAAAGAGTGAGATTTAGGAATTTAATAGAATGGAGAATAGATATGACACGTCACGACTGGTGCCACAAAACATATGGCTATTGCCACCCACCACTTCCAAGTTGCTAGTTGCTATCAAACACCCCCACAAGGACACATCTACTATACTTTTCTTTATTGTATCGAGATAAGGTCACACCACAAAATCATATAAGAAGAAAATAAATATTGAAATAAATATCATAAAATGACACTACTAATACTATTTTGTTGAATTTTATTGTTACTTTATGAAAATGTTTTCCTCCATACCCCTAGTTATTTAACTTTTGGAAAATATTAAAAGTTCTATGTGATGGTCCTTTAAAAACGTTGCAAGTCATAAAATATTTATTTTTTAATACCAGGTTGATTTCTGATATACTAACTCCTTTTTTATTATAAACCATCTTGAATTTTTCACACAGTAATAATTATTATATGAAAATAAAAAATTATGAAAGTTTTCATAAAATTGTTTTTTAATGCATCGAAAAAATAAATTTATATAATTGGTGAAGACAAAATAATAAACTTTTAAAAGTATAATAGAGAAAATATCATTAATTATCCATTAGTAATATAAAATGACACATATTGTGTTACAAATTTTTTTCTAAAACAATTTATAATAGAAAAGAATAGAAGAAGTATTTTTTTCGGTATTTAATATTTCAACTATCCACTATTTATCTATTAAAACCAACTACTACTAAATTATTTAAATTGTCATTTCCTTTATATTGATTTATACTATCAAAACATTAAGTGTTCGCACGAGATTTTCGCGCGAACAACCTCTGATCTTCCTGCGCGGATTTGCTTGCGAGACCGACCAAACTAGTCTCGGGACGGTTCTGTTTTCGGCACGTTATTTGTACGGGAGATGGTTTGTGACTATGTGTTTTGGTTACGTTGAAATCTCAAAGACTGGATAATGGAAAAATAACAAGATTCTGATGTAAATTTTGATAACGATGCCTAAGTGCCCAACGCACTGAGTAGACTTAAAATAAAACTTACAACAAGCTTAAATAAAGACTTAAACATAAAGTGGAAAAGTGCAAGAAATTAAGTGTTTTGGACGTATTCGTACATTTGGGTTGGCAAAATGAACTCTTTTCTCAATAGAGCGGTACTCCGGGTGTTTTTCTTCTAAATCTGACAAAAGACGCATTTTCTTCTTATAAAGTCTGGCTTTATATAGACACTTAGAATAACTGCCAAGGGGCTTCAAGCTATGCCACGTGGCACCCCACGTCCTTGGAACTGCTATCACGTCCCTGTTTCAAATTGTCTTCCCGCCCATCTCCTCAACTTCTCTTGTCGAGGCTGTCTTTGGTTGGTTCTTTTTTTATGTTGGTCGACGCGGGTCTAATCGACCTCCCCAATTATGATGTCAATTGGAGTGTGAGGCAAGCTTGTATTCCAGCATTGTTGATCCTTACTTTTCACACAGGGGGGTCGACACGTTCCTCTTGTCGAGGATAGTTGGCTAAATTTCAGCCAACAAAATGCCCCACCAAGACTCAAGCTTCGACGGAGATTTCTATCGACGAAGACGCTTGGTGTCTTTCGAGGCCTGATTTTTGTCATAATGGCTTGGCTGTCGATATGCTCACGTGTCAGTCGCCTCCTTATGTAATGATGGCGCCTTTTCTAAAACACAACTTCCCAGGCTTTCTATTACTGTTCTCCACTTCCTCATAATGTTTCAACGACACAAACCTCTAGTTTATAATAGTGTTTGCAGCGTAGCCTTTTTAGGCGTATTTTTCCAACCAATCTATGTTTCCCACCGTTTAAATGGCCACTCCCCACTAAGTTGTTGCTTCTATAAAGTGTCTTTCTCACGAACTGTGTTTCACATCCACCCAAGTAAGCATGAGTAGTCCTTTAGAAAACTCAACCGCCAAGGAAACAGTTGCAGAAGTGAAGAAGCCTGTCGTTCCAATGAAGGCTTAAGAGATAAGGAAGACCGAAGCCTCTACTGGAGTAACTTCCTGTGCCAAGAGGTGTGAAACAAAGATGAAGATCCCCAAGAGGGGGTGTTCTCGTGCCAACGACTCTGACAATGAAGCTGATGAAGACTACATGGAGTTCCTCAAATCTCTTGATTGGAGAGATTATGAGTAGTTTTTTTATTGCTTTTCCAGACTGTTGCGTTGATGCTTTTCTATTTTGTATGCCATGTTAGCCTTGTTTGGCCCATTTTGGCTTTTGTGCCCTTTTATGAAACTTACATTTTGATATGAACTCTTTGCCAGATAAGCCTCAATTAAGTATTTGCCTTCTTACTGTCAAGGTTCTTTTATCTTCGTTTTAATTCTTCAATCTCATAAGCATGATTACTCTCTAAACTGAGACTCCACATAGGAGGGATTTCGACAAACTTTTGTCATATGATTCTTTGGCTCTTTGGGATTTCTTGCAGCATAGGCATATAGTCCTTTAAATATTTTATGTTTATCCGGATGACCCGTAGGTCTCCCCGACTTCCTGTATATCATAGGCATTGTGACTGAAAGTCTTGGATACTTGGAATGGTCCCTCCGAATTTGGTGACCACTTACCATATTTTGGATCTTTTCGATCCATCGGAAGGATTGTTTGCCGTATGTAATCCCCGACTACGAAACACTTTCTTTGGACCCTCTTATTATACGTCTGGGATACTCGCGCCTTTTGTTGTAATAGTGCGTCGAATGCTTCTACTCTTTCTTCATCTAGGTCCATTAGTTCATCCAGCATCATCTCCCAATATCGTTACGATGGGATCTCGTGTTGCCGTTGAGTACGTACTGATTATAAGTGAATTTCGGCTGGTAGGACAATGTCGTGCCCAAACACCAAACGAAACAGTGACGTCCCGGTGGACTCTTTCAAATATGTTCAACAAGCCCATAATACTTGATCCAGCATCTGGTGCCAGTTTTTTGGTTTCTCTGCTACGTGCTTCTTAATAAGTCTGATTATCACTTTGTTGGCTGCTTCGACCTGGCCGTTTGCTTGGGCATAATACGGGGTCGAGGTAACCAGTTTGAAACCTTCGTCTATTGCAAACTGACGCATCTTCTGGCCAACAAACACTGACCCTTGATCGGTGGTGACTATCTCTGGAGTACCGAACCTATATAAGATGTGCTTTTGAATGAAACTGCCAACAGCTTCTTGGTCCACCTTTGCCAACGGTATGGCCCCAATCCATTGTGTAAAATAATTGATCCCGACAAGGATGAACCTATGTTGTCGAGAGGATGTGGGCCGGATGTCTAGGATTATATCGAAAGCTCATCCTCAAAACAGCCAACGTTTGACTACCGTATGTAGCTCGTCGGATGGTACCTTTTGAATGTCGGCATGATTCTGACATTCTTGGCATCCTTTTGCAAAATTTATACAATCTTTGAGCATCTTTGGCCAATATACTCCTTGTCGGAACAGTACCCACTTCATCTTTTGATCGGCTTGGTGAGCTCCGCATGCCCCACCATGTACTTCTGATATTGCCAAATATGCGCTTGCATCTCCCAAACATTTGAGCAATACTCCTTCGGGCGTCTTTTTAAATAATTCTCCTCCCATTTGGACGTAGCTTAATGCTTGATACTTGATCTTTCTGTTGGTTGTTATTGTTGGCTCTGTCAGATAATTGACCAACGGTTTTCGCCAATCCGTAGTACTTGATTCGTCTATTGCTAAAATTGCGCCATGGCTCCCCACACGTTCTTTCTCTCCAACCGGCGATCCGTTTCACCAGTTTTCTGATCTTCAAACGTCTTATCTGTTGACTGGCCCTCAACTTCAATGAACGCTCTCGATTTTCTGTCTGACTCTCTATACCCTGAAGTGATTTGTGCTAATTCATTGGCTTCTTGGTTATCTATCCTGGGTATGTGCGAAATGTTAACCACTTGGAATTATTCTAATAGGCCTCTGGCGGCTGCGAGGTATTTCACCAAATTCTCCTTGATGTACTTGTATTCTTCAGTGAGTTGCTTAATGATTAACTCAGATTCGCCTTTAAGGCTAATGCTCTTGGCGCCTAAATCTCTGAGGATTTTCAAACCGGCTAGCAAAGCTTCGTATTCTGCTTCATTGTTTGAGCATTTCCCTTCGACCCCACATTTGAACTTGGTAGGATGTCCTTGTGGCGACACGACTAGGACGCCTATACGGGCTCCATGTTTGTGTCGGGATCCGTCAAAGTATAGCTTCCAATGGTCACTGCTAATCAACCCGACAGGTTGGCTTGTCACCGCGGGGTTTACTATGAAGTCAGCCACTATCTTCCCTTTTATCGCTCTCAAAGGAATGTAGGTAAGGGAGAATTCTGTGAGTGGCAAAGCCCACTTTCCCACTCGACTGTGTAAAATAGGTTTTGACATCATGTATTTAATAATGTCACAATGAGACGAAACAAAAACTTC